TAATATTTCGCCGTCATAGTCTTTTAACCTGTAAACAGGAGGGTCCCTTGACACGCATTTCTTTACAGTGAAATATTCATCAGTATATTTTGCTCATAACCTTTTTTAAAAGGGCCGCGTAGTTTTGAAATTCTTACAGTATCGCTCACCTCATATTTAAAACTAATTACTCTTTTATCTTTTGTTTTATACAAGTTGTTAAATACAATATCTTTATTGTCTTTTGTTACATCAATCGGTTTCATTTTAATACTGCGATGATAACTATGATTGTAGGAGGTGACTAAATCCTGCAATATATCGATAAGTATCGAATTATTGGCTGTTAATAACGCCACATTTTAGAATCCTATTAAAACCTTCTACTACAGATGCCTTAGTCTCATATGATGTGGTAAAGTGTACAATACTATTAATTTTCATCTTTGTTTATGAACTTATTTCCCTCGTCTGTTTGAATTTTATGCGGTATTCTACCTTCAGCTAAGATATCTTTAAAGGATGCTGTGACGCATTTACCACTTTTATTTTTTAAACAATGCACCCATGCGTGATTTGACAACAAGTCTAAAAATAAATAGCGCACCCCATCTTGTCATCTACCCATGAGTTATCGACGACGTCTTCCTGGAGTAATGGAAAATATTTAGGACTGCTTGATAGACCCTCACCTGCTGTACATGTCCTCGTACCTGTACAAAACATTTTAATTAGAACAATACAAGCGTCGGCCCCATCATGGAGGTCTTTGAGGTTGTCAATGGTATTGTTTGTTGTTCATCTTCTTTGTCCTCAGGAACAAAAAGTTTTCTTCTGATCACTACATAGCTAACATAAGGTTTATACCATCTGGATAATTTATCAATGTGCGAGAAGACTTCGAGGGTTCTATCCCATTCTCCCCACTGGACCACAAAGCTGGTGCCGAACCACGTCTCTCACTCTTTAGACGTGATGGGGTAGCCTTTTTGTTGCTCTGGGGTCCCCATCCTTGCATTTTGAATGACAGAATCGTCCTTGTGCTCTCCAGGCACAGACCCGCACCATTGTGTTGTATAGACACCTTAGGAAGCACTCAAATCTTTACAAATTTTGTTTCTGAAGTAATTCCAGTCTTTGGCTGGAAAACTGTGAGGTGTTCTTTCACAAAGAACAATTTCATCAAGCTCTCTTGTATAAAGATGAACTGTTCCATGCTCATACAAGAATCAAGACATTCTAAAATCTTCCACCGCCCATTCAAACTGAGGCGCCCAAGCCTTTCGGTCCAGAAAATCGGTCAATGTTGTTGGGGAAGTCTTCTTTCTAGGAGCCATACTCATTGCTACAGGATCTATAATTATGCGTTGTTTTGGAGTCATTACTTCCAGTTGGTTATCTGTGACGTCCATGATTGTGATGCTGCAAAGATGGCGCTGTTGTTCTGCACGAAAATAGCTCTGTCCGATACGGAGTCAAAAATCGTTCAGTCAACCTGTTCCACCATCCCGGCGAGATGTATACTAAGTCAAAAACTACCCTGCTGTATATACAACTGACTGCTAAAGCCACTCCCAAGGAAGATAACACCGGACATTCCCCAAACCCCCCCCCTTTTTCACACCCCATCTTCACCTTTTGTTGTTCAACCTCAGTACGACCCCCAACGTTTTAAATTTTTTATTATATATTTTTTTATTAATATATTTTTTTCAAGTGCACGCCTGTTACGCGCGTTCGCGGGAGCTCGCATTGCTAACCTTTATTTACTACTCAACTTTATTAATCCATGAATGCAATTTGTTTACTATTACTGAAAATGACCCTTTTAATATTTGCTTTTTTACTAACCCATTAAGTATTGAATAATTACAAGGGTACCAGCTGACTTAGGCTAGGCAGGGAACTTGACTTTTGTTCTCTAGCAACAACAAAAATATTAAAAACAAAACTATTTTAATAATAAGTACTCAATTTACATTTTTAATTGCTATTACTGAAAATATTTCTGTGAAAGAATGATAATTTTGATAATTTTACTTTCAGTATCAACACTGCAATTATTAAACTTTCAATGTAATTTATTCCAGTCCATCTTAAACCCAAAGTTGTTACCCCATGTTTCCCAACCTTTAGTCTCCTTCCCTTGTACTAGGTACCCAATAAGTATTAATTAATTAAACATACATTGCGGGCTGAATTCTAAAGCATCACACACAAACATTCAGTTTCCTTCGCTTCAGGAATATAAAGTTGTTTTTGTCATTTAAAATGAAAACGACATTCCTTTAACTAGCTGTCAGTGCCACAAGCGTGGGCACACTAACATGATATGCAGGTATCCAGTGGAAGTAAAGCAATATCCTTTATCATCATCCACGTAGTTCTTAGGCTCACACACAAACACACATTTGTTCTTTTATATTTATGATTACCCTCATTCATATAAGCCCTAAACCTAATTCTAACCGTAACCTTAAAAAACCAAGCCTGAACTCTCAAACAGCTCTTTGGTGTGCTTCACGTTGCAAAAATGTTCATTGCTCCAAGGCCTAAAACTCAAATTGGTACTTACAAAAATAGACGTAGAAGAACACACACGCACACAACTGTTTCAAATATTATTCCTGGGGAGGCGATGGGGCAGTGGATAAGACACATGCCTTTGGTGTGAGAGACTTGAGTTCAATTCCCCACTGTAACGCATCCACCAATGTGTCCCTGAGCAAGACGCTAAACCCCTAGTTGCTCTGAGGTATACAGTATAGCAATTGTAAGTTGATTTATTTCAGTAATTCCATTTAAAAAGTGAAACTTGGATATTATATTCATGCATTACACACAGACTGATATATTTCAAACGTTTATTTCATTTAATTGTGATGATTAAAACTGACAACTATTGAAAATCCCAAATTCAGTATCACCGAAAATTAGAGTATTACTTAAGACCAATACAAAAAATGAAATGTTGGCCAACTGAAAAGTATGAACATGAAAAGTGTGAGCATGTACAGCACTCAGTTCTTAGTTGGGGCTCCTTTTGCCTGAATTACTGCAGCAATGCGGCGTGGCATGGAGTCGATCAGTCTGTGGCACTGCTCAGGTGTTAGGAGAGCCCAGGTTGCTCTGATAGTGGCCTTCAGCTCTTCTGCATTGTTGGGTCTGGCGTATCGCATCTTCCTCTTCACAATACCCCATAGATTTTCTATAGGGTTAAGGTCAGGCGAGTTTGCTGGCCAATTAAGAACAGGGATACCATGGTCCTTAAACCAGGTACTGGTAGCTTTGGCACTGTGTGCAGGTGCCAAGTCCTGTTGGAAAATGAAATCTGCATCTCCATAATGTTGGTCAGCAGCAGGAAGCATGAATTGCTCTAAAACTTCCTGGTAGACGGCTGCGTTGACCTTGGACCTCAGAAAACACAGTGGACCAACACCAGGATGCGGTTATCCGTATTGCTTTACACTTCATTTCCAACACATCTTTTCCTTCCCTTCGCCTCTCTATTAATGTGCTTGGACACAGAGCTCTGTGAACAGCCAGCCTCTTTAGCAATGACCTTTTGTGTCTTGCCCTCCTTGTGCAAGGTGTCAATGGTCGTCTTTTGGACAGCTGTCAAGTCAGCAGTCTTCCCCATGATTGTGTAACCTACAGAACTAGACTGAGAGACCATTTAGAGGCCTTTGCAGGTGTTTTGAGTTCATTAGCTGATTAGAGTGCGGCACCAAGGGTCTTCAGTATTGAACCTTTTCACAATATTCTAATTTTCTGAGATACTGATTTTGGGGTTTTCATTAGTTGTCAATTATAATCATCAAAATTAAAAGGAATGAACACTTGAAATACATCAGTCTGTGTGGAATGAATGTATACATTATACACGTTTCACTTCTTGAATGGAATTACTGAAATAAATCAACTTTTTGATGATATTCTAATTATATGACCAGCACCTGTAATCTGTCGTAAATATTCCATTAAAGCTTATTGTTCTGAAAATAAAATGTAAAAAAACAGCTTCCTGGAGTTCCGATCCATCACATGTGGAATAGGTGCCATAGCCCAAATGGACAGTACAAACAGCAGTTTACCGGCCCCAAATAGGAAGCACAGACACCAAACTCCAGTTTCTATTCTCTCTCACACAGAAAAAGACGCAACCAAAACACATCTTATAATATTTTTTTACTTACCTCGGCCTGCAGCTTTGCCTGTGCTCCTATCATACCTTAAAATATAAAGAAGACATTGAGAACACTCAACAAAGCAAACTCCTGCTGTGGCTCCATGGATTTATCTTATAAATAATAACAGTAATACTAACAATAACCACCCCCAGCCTGACAGTGTGTGCATGGTTTTTATACAGAATAGAACCATGACTAGTCATATAACCAAACATGATTGGAAAAACAACACTGTGGGACCTCGGTATCAGAAGGCAGAGAAAGAATAAGCACACTATTAATAATATTTTGTACAACTTTCTCATGTTCGAGAAAGTTGAGTCTTTTATAAAAGAAGAAGAAGTAATCTAATGGGGATCAGTGCCGCACCTTCCCCTGAAGAGGATGAGTAGTTTCGAGAGTGGTTGCAAGATTGAATTCAATTAAATGAATGTCTTTAGAGAAATTTTGAAAAAATTGCCTGTGGCTTTGCATTAGATTAAATATTGTTAAAGAGACTGCTTAAAAACAGAATATCTGTATTGATGTTGGAGTCTTCTTTCCAAATGACTCTCTACATTTTAAAGTTTAAAGAATTTTTGCCTTAATATTCTCTCTAAATGAATTTTACACTGCGCTTATGAGTGTTTTCCCACACTCACTGCAGTTTTTTCCACTTAACACTAACAAGATTATAAAATGTTATAATCAGACAATGGACTAAAGATTAAATATGAGTCACATGAAAAATGCAATACTGGCTGAAAGAAATCTCTAGCTTGCGAAAAGCTCAAAAAACAGCAGAAACACACACACAATCAGCCCCCATCACACAAATACGAGACCCACAGCTAGATTCCAAAACAAGTTTTTATTGGCCAATTTACAGAAAGTGCTGTAGTGACCATTCCAAAGGAAAACAGACCAAAGAGTCCAGAGAAGAAAAAAAAAACTAAGAAAAATAAAATTACTTTTACACATTTTACAAGGTTTCCATGTTAACTTCACTGTCCTCCTCTTCTAAAACAAACGTTAGGACAACATTAGGGCTCGGGCCAATGCAAAATCCACCAAAGGTTCCAGGGGGGTAAAGGGGGGGGGTGCAAGGAGGGAGGTGACATCACAAGACTAGGTGTCACAGAGGATGAGGAAAACTCTTAAACAACATATGAGATCTTTACATGAACATATAGATACAGTATACACATACAGTAGGTTCTCCCAGTTACACCCACAGGACAGCTGTCAAAGGCTCATTAGGTTAGAGGAGGAAACTTCCCAGTGTTTGTGACTTACACCTAACCTTGATTTTATCTGTGGCAGACACCACTACACCTGTCACATGTAACTAAACTTTCTGTTATTAATGGATTTTTCACTTTCCAACATTACAGACAGACTGGATTTTGGATGGCTACAGCCAGAGATTAATGCCCTTTCACTTCAAGGTGAAGAAACCTTGGACTGGGTTTTCTGATTACGTCAGATGTGACACTGCCAAATGCATTCACCTCTCTTTTTCCTTTTATCCTAAAGTTGCACCAGGCAACTTCACAATTCGGTGGCCCCAAGTGCTGCAAACGAGGCGGGATTTATGTAGTGCGACATCACCCCTAGACCTAGTTCTTTCTCTAATTTCACTGCATTTCATCCAGGGGCAAATTATCCTTCCTTCCACATGGGACAGCTAATTTTGTGTCAGTGATATTTGGCAGCATTAGTTGGCTACTCGCAGTACAGACTATTGACAAAATAATGAAAATGACAAAAGATTTACTTTTAGGGAATTAGAGACATAAAAAGTAACGGTGAGTAGATTTGACATTTACATACATTGGCCGGGCTGCTGTCATCTGCCAACTTTAGCTCATCACAAATATAATGATACATGTCAAATGAATGACAAAATGAGATCTTGATTGCCATTGAACTCGGATAATGAATTTACGTATGGCTTATTTCGATTTAGTTAAACGACATGATAATAATAACTTAAGGCAAATAAATTAAACAAGTAAATAACTAATTCATTAAATAAATAAATAAGCAGTGCCCTAAACACAGCAGTAATAACAGCTTACAATTATTACAATTGTTGGCTGATTAGTAACAAGAACAAGTAAAGATGTGTTTGGGTAGTGTTAAACCTACAGTAATTTGTTTGGCCGCTTGAGAGCAGCCTAACCATCTGAAAACACAGCGCTGGCCTCATTCATTCAGCTCTTTAGCTGCTAAATTATCCTCTATGTTCACCAGCTAGCCGCTAACTTTGTCATTCTGCCATTTGGTGCTGCACAGGTGGTGTACTGCAGGTTTATCAGGACTTTTTCACTAAAAACAGCTGCCTGCTGTTGCTAGAAATGAGTCTGATGAGAGAGGTGGGACATTAAAGTTGCGATGGGCTGAATGGCATTAAAATGCTCTGTTGAGGTGCAGAGATGGCTGCTAACTATGAGTGACACCTTTCGTTTTACACGTAATCATTTGATCCCTCGTTGATATAAAAATATTGACTATTACAGCTTTAATGTTCATAATTCAGGCTTGAATTATGTTCATTATAGTTCTATATAATTTACTATAGCTCTTATTTAAATAAATTTTATTTTATTTTTCTTACCTCATCTCTAATATTTCTTTGTGATATTTGTTGTTGTTTATAGTTGGTACTTCTGCAGAAGATTACTTTTCAACTGTAAAATTTGGGTCACAATTCTTTAACAAATAAATGTAAAGGATCTTTATCAAAAACAATGTTACATTCATGCTACGTTTTTATGTAAAAAAACAAAACTAACATTTAACAAATATGTATATAATCATCACATTTTCAAGACAAATAATGATACTGGTCTCAAAAGTCCAGTATTGGTCAGTCAGGGCTCTAATATTGACATTAGATATTTGCATCTATTGACTTTCCTACTTAATTCCAATGTGAAGGGCCAGTTCCATTACACTGTTCCTTGTAGAAAGTTGCTATTTCTCACTTGTCAACATCTCTGCAATGCAGCATTAATGATTAGTAGGAGCAGATGGTGGAATTAAATGCATAATATGCAACATTTCCACATTAAAATGTCTCAAAAGTACTAGACCTGTGTTATATCTTTTTTTGAATTGTGTACATTATTCCACAACAAACCCAATGTTCAAACCCAGAGAGAAAACCTTAATTGTATGCTAGCTAACGTTGTGTGTTTTATTCAGCCACCTCGCAATGGCCTCATATCCCCTTTAACACGTCTAGCTGCTATAACCTCCCGGGGGAAACATGGGATACATTAGAGAGTGAGCAAGGAAGTCAGCAAACGTGACTAAACGTAATATGGATTAAACTTTCATACATTACCTCGTCTGTGAAAGTGATCATGTCAGTCATGTCAGAGGTTGTTTAACAGTGAAGACAACAACTCCCATGATCCCACGCTACTCCATGACATCATCAAACTACCTCTTTTGTATTGTTTTGATGTGAGAGACCGCTAGCGGCAGAAATGACTTACTGCGCATTAAACAGTGCTTTCACTGAGTTTGTTGTTTAGGACCTCACTGCTGTGACCACGCCTGAGACTAACATTTCATTTGGGCCAGTGTTGTGGTATGTACACAAGCAGAGAGGGGACTCTCTGACTGATACCTCTTTACATGAACATCTCGCCTGCAGCTTTAACGGGCCCAGTCGCTATGAAGGCAGTGGCACATCCATCCAAACAAACCCAACTCGCAGTCAGCTGGAATGATCTGAACACTGAGCTAGAAACACACACAGAGGACTGATGGGGTGAGTTCAGTAAGGACTCCTGCACGCTAAGGGTTTAGGGTGTGTACATACATATGAAGAGGTGGCTTGTGTGTTGTGTCCAGGTGCAGAGGAGGGTTTCTGGGAGGAGAAAGTGGTGTTAGGGAGTGGGGTAGGAGGGGGTCACCGACTATACTCAGTATTTACAAGAAAGGAGCGTATAAAAATGTACAAGGAGACTCCTCTGTCTTTCCTAAAAACCCAGAACACCTCAGCTAGATCAACATGACTACATACAGATCTTTTTTGTTTTGTTTTTGAAAATATGCTATTTCTGTAAAATCACCTGGCTTTGCCACTTAGGCTAGAATAAAGACTGATAAATAACATGAAGGATACAAACCAAAGAATAGTCAGATTCTTTACTTTTGCAACTCAGTTTTGTTGAATAAAGACTGTTTTGCATTTTCATGGGACATCAGAAATCTCACTGTGGGAGATAGATGGTGCATGGGTTTAACCGACAAAATGGGATTCGAACAACTTCATTTCACTAAAGACCATATTGGTGGTGTAGACTGTAAAGAGATCATTCGAGGAAAAGCAGCTCTCAGGGGATGACCGAAATTTGGCGAGCTGTCTCTTTTAAGAAGGATGAATGTCATTTGATTGACGAGCAGTTTTAGTGTCATTTTTCTTATCAGCTGTATAAAACGGGAGGTTTTCTGACAAGGCTAAGGTTAAATCATTGCACGGTGTGTTTGTGTGTGTACTTCAGTGTAGTCTTCCAGTAGGGGGAGATATTACCTCATTTTTTGAGCATCAACATCACATGAAGTCTTTTTGTTTCCACCATCAGAATTGAGGTTTCAGTATGGACGTGTTGCAGAGTGTGTGTGCGCGTGTGTGTGTGAGTGCTTGTGTGTGTGTGTGTGTGTTTGTGACTGTGCGTTTCAATAAGATATTGTTGTTTTGTCCCAGTTGTGGGACTTCTTGTTCTGGCACTGCATCCTGGGTAGCTGGACGTCCACTTCCTCCTCGCTGTCGTCTGACTCAGCGCTGGTGATGTCATCCTCCTCCTCTTCGTCGTCTTCCTCCTCCTCCTCTTCTTCTTCTTCTTCCTCCTCCTCCTCGCTGGCTTCCTCCTCTGCAGCCTGGGGCTCCTCCAAGTTCTGTGGTGAGAAATATTTTGTGAGTTTGAGAAACTAAATGATCAGAAGTTTTAAAGGCAAGAAATCATAATAATTTCTCCTTAAATTCCTAATGTGAAAGCAGAGCATGTCCGTGTCTCTTCTTCTCTAGTACATATTCCAGTCGCTAATAACTAGTCCATTTTATCCCTGACAGAATCCTTCCACCCTCCTCTAATCCCGCACCCCCCTACCTCCATTGGGTTGACCGTGATCGTCAGAGCCGAGTCGTCCCAGGTCACGTCCGCCTCTTTAGCTGTCTCTGCCATCTTGACCTCCTGCTGGTGGGTCAGGTGGATGCGATAGATGCCCAGCACCACAACCACCACCAGAGCAGCGATACACATCACGATAACCACGGTGGCAGCGCTTGGCACGCCTTGAGGACAAGACGGGAGAGGTGAGAAAAATGGGATAGACCGTTATTTGGAAAAAGAAGCAGGAAAAAGCAATGCAGTCATGTTATAGATGCCTCAGGGAGTCGCTCCGTATGCTAAAATTAATATGAATCTTTTAACAGTTAACTGACAAAGAACCAGGAATCCCACACACTACTTTATTTTAAAATACATTTAATTTTACGCTTTGGTCAGAAGACCTTCACCCGGTCAAACTTTTTTCGCCAATACATCATTTTCTGGATTCATTCTTTTAAAACAGTTGACGTACTCCAGTACTTTTAGTATTGCACTTAAACCATGAAGCATTTGGGGTACCAACGGCTGGCAGACAAAAAATGCAGCAGAAGCTCAAAAAACACTGGATCCTACACGTCCCATAATGCAGCTCAATTACATTTCTCCATTTTAGAAACGCTACACTCCTCCGTTATAACAAAGCCTTTCCGAGTAATGCTCTTTATTCTGTGTCAGGCTATAGATAAATCCATGTTTTTTCCCCCTCATGTCATAGCTGAAGTCTCTTTTTAACTGTTGCTGTTATGGTTATCTGGTCCCTTGGGTGCTGACTGCCTTTTGATAGCCTATTGATTTTTTAATTTTCTTTCTCATGTCATTGTATGAGATGTCTTTTTAACCTTAAATAAGATGGGTACTTTGTTGATGATTGTGATCTTTAATTACTGTGATAGTATATTGATTTTCTTATGTTATTTTTTGGCATTGTGGTTGTTCCTGTATTTTTAAGCCTACACTAATCAATATCTCTTTTTCTAGCCACGGCTCTAGGGATGGCAATGTCAGTCTACTAGTTGGTCCATTTCTCCAGACTGGAATATCTCAAAAATATGGATGTCATGTCCCCTTCTAGCTGAACTGCAATAACTATTATTTATGAAATTCCCATTAGCTTTATCTGTACTTTGCATTCAGTGCTAATTAGCAAATGTTGGCATGCTAACACACAATACTTTGATGAGGAAAACTGGTAAACATTATACCTGCTGAACATCAGCCCAGCTTCCAGGAACAGTTCTGGGCTGTAAGGCGATTTTAGCATAGTAGCCACACCCTGGATTTCACAATCACGTGATGCGCAGTGGCCCAAAAGACATTTGTCTTTTTGGGAGTGGCTGCAAAACCATGAATCAAGTTTTCTGAGCATCGCAAATAGCCTGAAATGGCTCTTAAAATGAGCAGAATTTGAGCAATGTGGTCCAATAAAATGTGGAAGGTCTAAAAGATCCGTATCCTTAAATTATTTTGTGCCATTCAGGTGTGCAAGGAACTTTAAGTCCCGGCCAGGGGAAGTCTCTAATGGTTATGCTCTCAACTGCCTCAACCAGCAACGGACTCTAGTGTGCATGCTCTAAGGGCCCAAAAAACACGGGAGCCTTTGAACCAAATGCTAGTCTTAGCATCACAATGGGACATACCTTCTCAGTTACATATGAATCCAAAAATGGTATTTGACAAATTTAATCTGACCTGAAGTTTTTCCCTGTTTAGTCTATCTGACTGACACACAGAAGAGAGCATAAAAAACTTGCCCCATGTTTAAGCTTTTAGTTGGATTTGTATCCAAGGCCTGCTGGATTTGATTTAGTCAAAAAAGAGCTAAGAAAGCCAAAGAGATTGAACTGAGTCGTGTGTAAGTTACAGATTTTTTCAAATATATAAAAAAACAAACAAAAAAAAAACTTAAGTGCATTTAATTTAGGTCTCAGTGCAATACACAGCTGCAAAGATGTATCACAAGCTCTATTTAGTAGCATAACCACAACGCACGTTTAGGGATTTCTCTTGATCTAAAATGCTTATTTCTTCTGCTCTGATCTCCAGCCTACTGAGATAACACGACTTTTCTGTGCCTGCCCTCTCTCCACTAGTCCCGGCTGGTGTGTGTGCGCGTGTGTGTGTTTAACGAGAGAGAGACTCACAGAGGACTCTTCAGTTGATCATTTGATTCAGTCTAGTTCCCTAGATTTTCACACTAAATCCACGGCCTTTGATCTTCCTCGCCGTGAAGCTTCATGCAGCCCCTCACACTAACTCTGTATGTGAACACACACCCACCCCGACATTTTCCCTCCACTTTGTACTCTACATACATCATCATCATCTGAAACATTCACATGTGCTAAAAAAACGTTATTGCTGCATCTACAACTGGAAATCTCTTTTATTTTTAGTTAGTGCCATACATTTATTCCTGATTTCCATCAGCCCACCATCCTCTCTGCTCCTCTGGCCTCCTTTTCACACACACACACACACACACACACACACACACACACACACACACACACACACACACATACTAACACATAGACATACAAACACTCCAACTCTCTGAGCTGTTAACAGCACTGGCCACAGAACTCTCCAGGAATCTAAGTAGAATCCATTAGAGGCTAATGAATAATTAAATCTGGTGTGGTAGATTAAGACCAATGTCTCTCCTCACCATGTTCTCTTTACTTCAGATCACTCACATGCACCAAGGGAGTGGAATATGCCTGGTGAATCATTTGAGAAGGGGAGCGAGTTTACACTGCTCTCTATCACCGAGGACCTCTGTGTGAGAGCAGCAGTCTGATGAACAGAACGATAAACAAACTAGAAACCGAGCGCTCCCTTGGATCTAGCGGTGTTTACCCTGGAATGGATAGCTGACATAAAAACTCATCTCAGGCTCAGTGGTTCGCAAGAAGCTCACGGGTCTGATCCTCAGCATCCTCCGTCTGTGAGGGTTTCCAAGTGCCCATCGGTGTTTTATCAAGTCATCTTAAAAGCATACCCCCCTTTAGAAAATCTTTATACATCACTCATTTCACATTGTTAATGCTTCCCAAATTGCGTGTTGTAATTAATTTTTTTGTGCACTCACTTTCTCTCAACCTGCCTTGTATTATTGTACTTTTACTTTGGTTGGACATTTACTGCATTTCCCAGGATGCCATTTGACAATCCCCAGAGCTTTGGCGTAAACTGAGCTGTAATGATAGTAGGGGTAGTAACAAGAAAAGCAATTTCTTTTAGTCAAGAAAAAGCGTGAGTCATGGATCCTATTTGAAACATTACACGTTGTGACTACAGGAGTCTGGAGCATTGAGGTTCCTGTCGAGAACAAATCATAAATAATACAAAATCTTGATTTGGAGGGAGCACCACTTCTATGTTGGTGTTTTAGACCCCACATATTCAATAAGCAATTGAATCGAAATTCTGCTTACAAGAGATGTCACATGGCTCTCGCATTACGTTACCTGTCTTCTCTTAGCCGCTAGGAGCTGCAGTTAGCAACGTTGCTGCCAAAGGTAGGAGCTTAGGTAAAAAATGGCCCCCTCAAACAAGTCGGGGCAAAGAAAGACAAATATATGTTCCTTCTACCCAAGGGAAGCAGAGAGGGCGCTTTCCCACTCATTTGGGTTACCTTTTATTTAATTGGGCAGGTAAAACTTGTTTTGGGCAGGTTGAGATAATGTGGTCTACTTTTTGTACTATTTGGGGCAGTTTCCTTCTACGCAAAATTAGGCTATTTTCCAGTAAATCATCCCCACCTCTCCTATGTTTAGATTGAGCTCTGTGATAAAAGACTTGTTAATGTGTTCTTATAACATATAATATAACATTATCCATGTGTTATTAATATGCCAGGATACAAAAACAATAAAGAATGCAAATTGAATCTTATACATCAAACAGTTTGTTACAAAGGATTTAGAAGCATTGAACATAAAACGTGCATGTTTTCTTACCTGAGCTGTGGCTGGGGTACAGCTCATGAATCATGGACGGATGGTGGACCACCTGCATGTACTGAGGCGGAGCTACCATGTGACTGACATGTTCCCCAGCTTCTGAACTGTGCAGTACGCTCACCTGGTTGGGAACAGATGAAGTAGAAGTGATGATGTTGGAAGGTAAAATGATCACTCAGTCCCAGTGTTTCCCAAATGTACGCCTAAACTTGGCTTGACTCATACAAATGGTATATTTGAGACAGAATAAAGTAAAGACTTCAGAGAGAGGGCAGGAGAAATGAGAAAGTTAATGTATTTATGCCTTTTTGGGGACAGGGTCAGCTCAATACAGGGATGTAAAATGTAAACTAGATTTAAAGTAAACACCAGAGAATGTATAAATAAGTCACACAGACCAGAGACAGAAAGAAACAACAGTTAGCCAACACATGGAAATGGGCTCGGCATTTTCATCAAGTAAGAACAGTGTAATAAATCTGGGTGTGTGTGAATGTTTCTGCCTGATTCACTGTAGAATGGGTTAAGGTCTCTTCGGGAGAAGTGTTCTGTGTTGCAGTTTTGCCTTCACTTGATATGTTGAACCAGGCTGTGTCTGTGTGTCTGCGTGCTAAAGGTCTACTTGTCTCTGGTTGCTTTGGAGTTATGCTATAACTTCAAGTGCACCTTTAAACTGAAAGGTTCACATTAAAGTGATTGTTAATAACCCGCCTGTTCATGTAGTTTTCACTACACACATTTTTCATCAAATAGAGCTTCAGTTCAAATGTTTTTTCTGCATATTTCTGGTATACATGGAATTTGCCATGTTTCTGCTGCTATTTTACAAAAGATATTTGTCACTAAGAGTGAAAGTGATGCTACTGGTATTCCTGCTGCTCTTCTTTTTAAATTTGCTCTTGAAGTGACAGTGTTACCAGACACCTGAGCTGAGTCAGCTCAGTTAATTTGTCTGTTCAAGCACTTTGGACCAGTTGGTAGTAAGAAGCAGCATTATCTCTAGTGACAACGTGCGATAACTATTGCTGACTAACAAGTTTTAATAATGATTTTTGAAAAGATATACATTTTTGCAATTATGTACAACATTATCCACTATTTTAGAGCTGCTTGTCAGCCCTAGTGACATTTTCTTAGATTGTCAGTCCTTTTAGGAGTGTTTGAAACATATCTCAGGCCTTTTCAACATTTTTGCCACAATAAATCCTTCAAACCAGCAGAGCGCCCCTGTGTTGTCAGTAACAGCCAATCACAAACATGCATTATTGATGATGAAAGTTTCATTTCAAAGAAGGCCTTTTTATTAGGTAGGTTTATTGTCACGTGTGAAAGTGAGTTGTGTAACTCTTATCTGCTACATAGCAGACAATATACATTAATAGAATAGAATAGAAATCTCAAATAAACTATCATTACTAGAGCAGTGCTGAGGATGAATTAGAGTTTAAGTGTCTTTCAAAAATAGTAAGAAATGTACTATTTTTTAGAGCCCTAGGTTCAAATTACTTGTTTTTTCAACTACCAGTCTGACCAAAGATATTCAGGTGGGCAGCTATAAAGAATGGCACATTTTGACAGCCAGTGAATGTTTGGTATTTTTGTTGAATAAAGACTGAAATGATTCATTGATAATAAATATTGTTGCCCATTAATTATCTGTCAGTCAACTAACTGATTAGTCAATTAATTGTTTCAGCTCAAATTGTCAGTTTCATCCATCTCCATTTCTGTGGATATTTACCTGTTACATAACCTGTATGATATTTTGCTGAATCTGTATCACTATTGACATTAGAAACCCACATGAGTCAGGCTGGAGCCCACACTGACCTCAAGGTTGAACTCATTGCTGGTGTAGCGTCCGTTGAGCTCCGAGCAGGTGAGGCGAAACCTTCTCTCTGCTAGTTGTTCGGGCTGCCAGTTATAGTAACGCACCTGTCGGATAACCTGTTCATAGTTGGACATGGAGTCCACACCTGTGGAAAGAGGCAGGGACATAAGAAGGTTGTTGTTGCTACTACATGTAGGGAGCTAGTTAGAGGATAGAAATAACCTGTAACTTATGGACATGCAGGCGGTTGAGCTGTTTTATGCACGTGTCAAAAGGAGGAGAACTGTTGTTGTTGTTACAATAATAGCAGTGGACTAAATGCTATATCAACCAACTGGCCAAGAACCCACCACATGTAGCTTTTGGTGTGGTTACCATAGTTACCTACCATATATGGACATGCCAGAGGTGGAGTTAGTGGCGTCGAGGTGTTTTCCGAGCATAGTGCTGCGCTGCAGTTGGAGGGACTCCTGCTCCGGCCTCAGCTCCTCGCCCAACACCAGCACATCACAGTAGTCCAAATTATGAATAATCTCCTCCATCACCCCGGGTCCACGTGCTACACACACACACACACACACGCAGCTGTAATTTTTACCAGTGAATATTAGTTAGCCATTACCTTGTTTGGTTAATCTTGGCTTTTCAAACATGAAGAACTAAAGGCAATACAACTTGTCCGGGTTAGTTTCAAGTTTTGGTTTAGAATGTGTTCTTATTGCACTGCAGTTCTCTTCGAAGGCTATTTTTTGGCACGTCAGCGAGCTTACATTACTTACTTCGGGTACCTTTGTTCTCATCTCACTAAATGAACCAAACTAATACTGCTCCCAACACGGCCGATGTGAATTTATGTACCCTTAATTGACCCTTTGCTAAGAGATTAAATCGTACTTCTCCTTTCAACCTCTCTGGGTAGCGACTGTAACTATTACAAGTGCCCCAGGAACAGCGTTACCATGTGACCATATCTTGGAAAAATACAGCAAAAGAAAGCCGAAAAATGACTCCTTTTTGTATTAGGGACAATGGCGCGCAGCCATGAAAGTGTCGACCTCAGGTAGAGCTATACTGTGCTGTGATTGGCCAGCCGTGTGTTCAGGGCGTGGCTTAGCGAAGGGTCAATTGTCACATGACAGTCTGATTGCTGTTGCCATGCCAAAACATTTGTGGAAGAAAACGCTTGCCATTATTCAAACAGTATAGGGCACAGCACACTTGCTCAAACTCCCAATCTCCAATTATTTGTCAACTCTGTGAACACAGACAGTGCCATGAGCTGCCGTGGTAACAAGTCCCCTCAGGCAGCTCCCATCACAGCAGTGCTGGGTGGCTGCTGGGGCTCTTTGACAGTCTGCTAAGCACTAGCCTCCACCTCTCACTGCTACCCAGCCTTCTCCCTCACTGGACACTCCTTGGGGAGTGAACCGGCTATGCCCATTTACCAGCTTCCCAATGGATAACGATAGATATGTGATGTGTATGTCTGGATGGGGGTCTTTGGAGGGATACAGAGATGAGGTGGAGAAACGGGGAAGAGTGAGCAAATCACGCAGAAAGAAAGTTGTGTTCCAGAAAAAAAGATACTGCTGTATTGCTTTTGTGTATGAAGGCATTTATTTAGTGCAGTTTTTTGGAGTTGTAGGGGCTTGCAGGGAACACTTTCATATAGCTGTAGCTTTTAAGCCTTTGTTAGCTCATTGTTTTGGTTGAGGGGCAAGCAAGTTCTACTTAGCAGCAGGGAGCTGCCACTGTACGCTAACTGCTTAGCAACTTGCTGGTGAACGTAATAAAGCAGCAGCTAAACAGACAGATATTTCCCTCAGGAGTTGACGAAAAACAAAAATAGAGCAAAAAAAGGTAGTGAATACTGCACTGACATTGGAAACACCCCTTCAAATGAATGCTATAACGTTGCTCAGTGTCAGCTGGATGTATAAGTAAGCAAATGTTTGCTAACATGTTAGCTTAAAACACAGATGAGTTTTTTCAGCTTGTTTTGGAATTCTTCCCCCAAGTGGCCAAAAAATATCAATAATAAGAAGAAAGCACGCTGTTGCTCAATTCAGTATGCTCATGGATTTGGTTGCTCCAGGCTAAGACCAGTAGCTTGTGGTGGCTAATGTTAGCAAACTTTAGATAGATATTTCTGTGTAAATGACATTACTGAGTGAGTTGGCTAAATACTTCTCTCTTTCTTCTCTTTTATCACAGTAAATCCACTCAAATGTTAGTAAGTAAAACAGAAAGACAAAAAAGTATACACATTATAATGGAGACAATGTTGTTTCCTGCTTTTTGTTTCTTTTCACTCACCTAAAGAGGATGCTTTATAGCAATTTTAAAAAATTCTTGAAAAATGGAGGGAAGTAGCCTCACTTTAAAATTTAACTTGCATTTTCTTTAGATATCTTCCAAAAAAATTAAAACCTTTTATTTGTCACATTTGCACTACCCATGCTGTTACCTGTAAACTTGCAGGAGAGACATATGAATGGAAAACAAAAAAAAATGAGTGTGAGTGTAGGACTGTCCCAGGAATAGTTTGTTTGCAGCCTACACTGCTCTTAAAACTACACTGTGGGTGGGACGAAAAAAATCGAGCTGGGCTCCCCAGAAAGAATTACTAACAAGAGAAAAGAGATGGAGAGCCACTGTGTGCAGGAGGGGTGGGAGTAAATAAAAGGAAGCAAAAGAAAAATTCTAAAGAAGAGGAGAGAGAGAAGAGGAGATGACCCTGAAAGCAAATGGGTAAAGATGATAAGTTAAAGAGAGAACTGATGACATTGGCTCTGAGTAAAGGCATCAGAATAAGCCTTAAAAAGATACTGTGGTTTGAGATGGAGCGAGGAATGAAGCAGTGCGGAGCAGGCTCAATAAAAAGACAAATGAATGACAGAGAGAGACAAAGAGGGAGGCAAGAGGGTGATTAACAGGGTCCAAAAGAAACTTACTACATGCCCTGCAAAAGAAATGTGATTTATCTTGAATCCTTTAAGCCTCGAGTGAACACAAAATCTGCTCATTATGAAACTTCATCATGCCTCCCTCTCCCACACACACTCTCTCCTCATCTCTTTCTTTCCATTTCTGTCTTTCTCTGGGTTTCAGCTAATCTCTTTCCCCCAGCTGCAGTCTCTATTTCACCAGCAGAAAGAGCTCCTGAAAGCAATGCCACTTTCTGCTCCTCTTCCTTCGCCGCATTACACACAATGGAGGGCTAAAACCTCTCTCTGGCTCTGCTTATCTGTTCCTAATTGGCTGTGAGCTGCGGGGCCCAGGGCCGAGCCGGGCCGAGCCGGACTATTCTTGCCGGGGTGGTCAGATCCTTGGACGAGACTAGACTGGTCAGGATTTAAATGTCATACTCATTTGGCGCCAGTCAAGGCGGTGTGACCCTGAGAATCAGTCTTGTGGGGCGTCTCAGGTCTTACTCAGCAGGAGAGGGTCTGCATTCGCACAGAGACAGATACAGGAGTGTATGGAAACAGTGGAGAGGCTAATACCTCCAGACTTGTATGGAGAGAGATGGATTCAGCAGGAAATTAACTCAACATATTGCAGAGCTCCATGGAACAAAAGGCTCTAGCTTACACTGTAGATTACAGCTGGTGAAAGGGGACAAACGGACAACTGTATGTGAGGGGGTGTTACAATATAGCTGCACGTAAATACTAGTGGTAGTATTGTACTCTATGTCATGCTACTTTTGACTCATGCAACTTCTAGTAGACAAACATTAAAATACTGCTTACTCATTTATGCATTGTAATGCTACAAAATTACAATGTATAATGTCAATTTACAGTAACCAGTAAGACACATACAAGCTTTTTTAAGGCTCTGGGAAAGTTCTAAAAATATAAAACCTTTTATGAAAGCACACTTGAAGATTAGTGTTATGTTAGAACTAAGTTAATATATTACAAGTCTTACTGTACATGTACTGAGGAGCGAAGCACAATCAGGTCATGGCCGTAGATAACAAGAGTGTTATCATGTGTATACTCTTTTGAGTGATCTAATAACCCAGGTGAGGAAGGTGTGGGCGGATAACAAAATCTGGAGGACCTGATTTAAACACCTTTTGTACCAGCCTACATATTCTATTTGACCCTGAAATACGTCACATGACTCTAACTTTGGTTTTACTTCAACTTCTACTTCTTCCACCTTTTGTGCAAACACGCAATGGAAAAGTGAGTAGATAATTACTTGTGAATCACACAGACTCACAAGTAACTACTTCATTGGAGTTTTGATAAGCTTTATTCCCACCAAACTAGATCATTTGGCAATGTGAGAGTAAAAGCACAGCTTTTGTTTTGTTGCCTTCACAGCGTGAGCAGACGTACCAGATGAAAGAAATGCTCGCTGCTGCCGATTCGCAGTCTCATGAGGCATTATGAAATGTTCAGCTCTCTCTGAAGGTTTGTTTTGATGGCGAGACAGGTGGAACTGCATAGGCTATGGGACTTCATGAATGAGTGAACACATTATCAATATGAAAAACAGTTGAAATATTTAGTGAAGACAGATTTCTACCTGCAGGGAGGTATGCATCTCCTACTTTGTAAGGTACACTCAGACTTTTTGGAGTATGAGCTTGTCACTGGAATGGTAGTACATTAAGATCACATTCCCTACATTTGTACCTTCAAAAGCAGCATGCATGGACAATACACACACACAACTACATATAGCCTCCAACATTTTTTTTTCACTTGCTTCAAGCATGATGAAACCAGTATTTCAAAACTAGTGCACAGAGCTTACCGATGTGTGTCACAGTCCATACCTGTGTGATGTGCGGTGGCGTCCGCCCTGGTGACTGTGCTGATGATGTGGAGGTCCTGGAACAGAGCTATGCCTCCTGGCGCTCTGAGGTCGGAGGCCGGCTGTATCAGTCTCTCCACTCCGGAGATGGTTATCCTGGGCTCACTGGGCTGCAAAACCATCACCACTGCATCGATGCCTGGTATGGTGATACAAGTGTCTTCACCAAAACACCTGGGCATAGAGAGTTGAAGAGAGGCTGGAGTGTGAGAGCTGGATGACTGAGACATGAAAAAGGAAGCTAAAGATTTTTACTACATTAGCTGTGCTCAGCTATGGCATGAAGATACTGGTTTGTCACTCTCCAATTTAAAAAGCAATTGGTTTACAAACATCTCAATACAGCCTGATGCAGCGCTAATGTTAGCAAGCAGAGGACAAGTGAAGGCTGCGTAAAACTCCTACTTAATTATACGGTGCAATAAGCATGGTTTGGAAATATGAGGGTCAAAAATTTCTAAATCTGAGCTACATTTCCTCAAAAAGTACAACATCTTTAGATGTCTAGATTACATAAAACTGTTTCAACAGCAAAATGTAGTTAGGACTTGCTACATGTTTAAATGTTGTCATATTGATGAAAAATGTAGAGAGATGTGGAGATGTCAAAAAACTTGTTTTAGCCAGACTAGCTTTATTTCAAAATCATTCCAGCACGTAACCCCCCGTAAAACCAGAAATTCTTGATTTTACGTTTAGTTATTTTTTGTTTGGTTTAAACAAAAAAGATGTAACATGTTAATTAGTGAAATTAAAAAGTGATTGTAGCCTTTGACAGAACCGGGTTAGCCGTTTTCCCTTTTTTCAGTCTTTATGCTAAGCTAAGTTAAGCTAATCACCTGCTGGTGCTAGCTTCAGTCTTATTATCTAACACTCAGCCAAAAAGCAAATGAGTGTATTTCCCTAAATATCAAACTACCACTTTAGTCTTTAAGGCTCACTGGAAAGGAAGTGTTTTAATTTGTCAGTAGAAATAGGAATGTATTTATTTGTCTCAAAAATAGTACTATTTAACTTTTTAAACTTATCTGTGGTTAGCTGTGTCCTCTTTTAAAAAAAACAAATAACATTTCTTTCTCCTGTGTATGTGTGTCAGAGTAGCCAATAATTACACTGAGATGACAAAACATTTTTTTCTAATAAAGCTTATCAATATCAACAGGTCCTATTTGCTGCTCTAAAAGCTGTTCAATCCAGATCCAGGCCTTTGTGAAACATGGAGAAAACGCCCTGTCAGGGCTCAAGCAGCAGACACAGACCTGCAGCAGTGTGCCTGCTGTGTTTTCATACATGCATGTCGGCCTCCCTGCCTGCCTGTCAGACAGCATGTGTTTAAACACACAGCATCCACTGGCAACCTTAAATGGACGGACCAACCTTGGCTCTCTATGACTTGAGCTAGCCAGCTGTGAGCTCAAAACAAAGCCACACAGAGATCGGCCATTTTCACACTAATGAGTGCAGACATCTGACTCAAAACCATTCTGATGCATCGGTTGATACACGCATACACACGGCATAAAGACTGCAGATTACACATCAATCAAATGGAAAACAAGAGACATTAAAAAGAGGAAAGGAGGGGGGGGGGGGGGTTACTGCGGGTGGTGGAGGGGGTGGTGGTGGTGTAAGAAATGAAAGCTGAACAAACAGCCAGATTTTTGTTTTTACATTTCACCAAAGGCCTTTCAAGTACACAAACATCTGTCAGTGGGAGGGACATCAATGCTTTCTCATAACAAATAACAAGCTTATTTCCTGCATTGGGCTGTAAGATCTCAGCTGTTCCGCATCCTGTGTTTTCTCACCTATATTATGATGTAAAATGCTGCAATGCACAAATCCACAAGATGAATTTCCATATGCTTTTATCTCTAGCTGGGTAGTTTTATATGGATTTTTATGAAGAGAAATAGAAAAACTGAAAGGTCCTGGCAGCAAATGTATGGCTGAACGTCAAAGCAAGACATTTTAAAAGTGGCTCATTCTCTACTCTCTATATAACAGACACTCAATATTTACTCTATAGTGAGCTATATAAATTGAGATTTTGGACACTGATTGGCTACAGATAATTCCCTTTTGAAATTTGTGAATTGAGCCACAGTTTGTATATAAATGTAACAACATCCAAATATGATGAAAATTGTAACTCATTTTAAATACATATATTTCTATTACATTTCTTTGAAACCAGACATATTTGTGTGTGCACTTAAAAATACTTTTGTGGAGAGAGTCATTTAGCCTATATTTGAATCCCAAAATTTTTTGAATCTTTTTGTGTGTATTCATTCATATTGAGAGTGATCTGACTCTACACTGAACTGGGGGCATAAAGTGCATACGTTTCACACTCGGTTCTGCTCAGACACACAAATACGGTAATATGGTGGACAGTAAAAATATCAAGCTATAGTGAGTGAAACTTCTGGCTGCCACTTATTTTGAGGCACTGCGGCTCAGTCAGCCATAATGCTGCATATGACTCAGAAATACAGACATATGAACACCCTGTGCTTATTCTTGGAAACATAATATAATGAAATGATCCTAAGTGTGATAAAAGAAGATCAGGACCAATTCAGACCAGTATTTCATAAGAAAACATCAGATTATATTTTTTAAGGACAAGCCTGTACAGTTGCCCAGGTTTATTTGGAAAGATTGCAAAGTACAGTCCCCTCCTAAAGTACTGGAACAGTAAGGCAAATTCCTTTGTTTTTGTTGTTCACTGAAGACATTTGGGTTCAAGATCAAAAGATGAGTATGAGACAAGAGTTCAGAATTTCAGCTTTTATTTCCTGGTTTTCACATCTAGATGTGTTAAACAACTCAGGACATACCACCGTTTGTATTAGACCACAGCATTCTTAGGTGAACAAAGGTAATGGAATAAATAATCTTAAAGTAAATAACATTTAATATTTGCTGGCAGAACCTTTGCTTGCAATAACTGCCTCAAGCCTGCGACCCATCGACATCACCAAACTGTTGCATTCTTCGTTTGTGATGCTATTCCAGGCTTTTACCGCAGCTTCTTTCAGTTCTTCTTTGTTTCGGGGTGTTTCTCCCTTCAGTCTCCTCTTAAGGAGGTGAAATGCAGCTCTGTTGGGTTAAGGTCAGCTGATTGACTTGGCCAGTCTAAAACCTTCCACTTTTCCCCCCCGATGAAGTCCTTTGTTTTGTTGGCAGTGTGTTTTGGCTCATTGTCCTACTGAATGATAAACTTCCTCCCGATTAGTTTCAATGCATTTCTCCGTAAATTGGCAGACAAAATGTTTCTGTCCACTTCTGAATTCATTCTGCTGCTACCATCATCAGTTACATCATCAATAAATATTAATGAGCCTGTTCCAGAAGCAGCCATGCTCGCCCAAGCAATGACATTTCCTCCACCATGCTTCACAGATGAGCTTGTGTGCTTCAGATCATAAGCAGTTCCTTTTTTTCTCCATACTTTGGCCTTTCCATCACTTTGGTAGAGATTAATCTTGGTCTCATCAGTCCATAAGATTGTGTTGCAGATATTTTGCGGCTCATCTCTACTTCTTTGCAAATTTCAATCTGGCCTTCTGATTCTTCCTGCTGATGAGTGGTTTGCATTTTGTGGTGTGGCCTCTATATTTCTGCTCTCTGAGTCTTCTTCCAACAGTGGATTGTGACACCTTCACCCTGCACTGTGGAGGTCGTTGCTGATGTCACTTACTGATGTTTTGGGGGTTTTCTTAACAGCTCTAACTATATTTCTGTCATCAACTACTGTTGTTTTCCTTGGCCGACCTGTTGGACGTCTGTTGCTCAGCACACCAGTAGTTTCTTTCTTTTTCAGGACATTCTAAATTGTTGTGCTTGCTGTGCCCGATGTTTGTCCAATGGCTCTGGTTGATTTTCCTTCTTTTCTCAGCTTGACAATGGCTTGCTTTTCTCCCACAGACAGCTCTCAGGTCTTCATGTTGGTTTATCCTCTTTAACAGGAAATGCAGTCTTTATAGGTTTGAACAAAGGATGAAAACTTAGACTAGTCATGCAGAGCTATTTAATGTTTGGACAATCAACCTAAAAGGCAACACCTGGGCAACAAGAAACATCTGTCAGCCACATGTTCCAATAGTTTTGCTCACTGAAAAATAGGTGGGTTCAAACAAAGGGTGGTATGTCCTGAGTTGTTCAACACATCTAGATGTGAATACCAGGAAATAAAAGCTGACATTCTGAACTCTTGTCTCATACTCATCTTTTGATCTTAAACCCAAATGTCTTCAGTGAACAACAAAAACAAAGGAATTCACCTTACCGTTCCAATACTTTTGGAGGGGGCTGTAGCTCAATGAATCTGATAAAATCGAAATTACAATTTGATAAAAGAAAAAGTATCTACACATTGAGCTGGATCTGAAAAATATATTGGTTAAAATAGCTAAAAGTAATGAATGGTTAAAATGTCCTGCTTCTGCCAGTCCGTATGGCAGTGGTACAGATGCAACTAAATCAACCTAAACATTGCCAGTTTAACTGTATGTTAAAATTATTGTGACTTACACAAATTTTCATATTATAATATATAAATAATATCCAGTTAAAACCTGTTCAAATTAACAAAACAGGTGGGAAAACAGTGGTATGTTGTACAAAACAAACAAAAGAATTATAATAAATAATCATATTCATAACATCTGACAGCAATAACACCAGCACCTCCAGAATAGACAGAGACTGAGAAGTGGAAGAGTCACCTGGATAATGTTCGAATCATAGAGAGATATGAATAAACAGATTTCATTATAATTTAATTAAATTTTTAAATTTAGAGCGTTAAATAAATAAAGTAAACAGAAGCTATATCAATGCACTTTTCACAGAGCAGGTCGAGACCCAACAATTCCCACTATGAGTGAGCAAGCACTGCAACAAAGGCAAGAAAAACACTCTCTTAGCAGGTACAACCCTTGAGCAGAACCTTGACTCAGCGTGGGTGGCCATCTACCTCAACCGGTTTTGATTGGATTGAAACCAGGATAAGACTGATAACAGGGACACCTGTGTGCGTGTAAAAGTGCTAATTGACAGATTGTGTGCTGCTGATGACACAACACAGAACAGAAGTTGAGAACAGGTGAATAAAACTGAAAGATCATTAAACATGTACATGTAGTTTTGAGCAGCCACTAGCG